ACGACAGTCGTAAGTCTATGTTAAAGTATGGGAGTTACGATCACCTTAGCGCTACGATCGCTTGGAGGAACGGGGCCCTGGACCTCGTTCCTCACTGCGATCGTAGCGCTACGACAGTCGTAAGTCTATGTTAAAGTATGGGACTTTCGATCATCTTAGCGCTACGATCGCTTTGAGGAACGGGGCCATGGCTAGCTATTCTCGAAACGTTCGTAGCCATACGAACTTCTTAAGCCCATTCATAACACATTGGCTACGATCAAAGTTAAGAATTCTTAGGTCTACGAACGTTTCGAGAATAAGGGCCCTGGTGCTTACTGCATAAGTAAGCTTACCATTTACTTCCATTTTCGATATACACGAGGCAATGGAACTAAAAAACACGTGGTGTCTGCAGCACTTGAATCATATTTGCTGGGTACGCCAATTAAACTGTTGTTAGGCGATTTTCTTCTCTACAGAATCAATCGACCTTAGACTTCAGCCTCAAACTGAAATTTTAGATAAAATATTCATGACATAAGGGGGGGATTATGCCCGAAAATGTGGTTTATGTGCATTGTGTTATAGCAACCAGGTTCACGTCTGTAATCTATAGGTGTCATTAATGTACAAAACTATTTCATAATCTTGTGTTCTAGTATATCAGTTGTTTGCAGAGTTGGCCCTACATCTTGATATTCCGACATCATAGCGGCCATCCGTTATTCACAAACTTAGTCCGTGAAACGTTTTCCTTCGGGAGATTTTAACACATAATGATGTACTGCCATGGGGTAGTGATAAATAATTATTCCCATTAACTGTTCCCTTGTTTTCATTCTTTTGCGATGCGTACATATCAGCATGACGTTATAGGTTTTATTGTGCATATATTACGTAATGATAACTGTTGATGACGTCACAAGTGATTTTATAAAAAAGGAGTTCTTCCCATAAAATGAATGAGCTAAAGTAGGTTGTTAATGCTGTCTCAGAAAAACTGCAGTTCTCTCCCTCTCTCTCTCTCACACTCACTCACTCAATCTCATGGACACACTAATCTACTAGCAAATATGAATTCCTACTCTCTTCCATTTTTAGAAGACGTTATTGCGTTAGTTTAGAGCAATTATTTCATGTAATTTCAATGGCAAAAAAGGTGAATAGTTCTATAGTTCGCCAACACAGCAGCAGCCTTTATTGTTGTGTTTTGTTTATTTGAGTCCCCAAGATGGCGTCAAAGTCAATGCTTTGTATGGCCACCATTAGTAGCAATTACTGCTCGGCACCGTCTCGGCACAGACTGGATAAGTCCACGAAGTCCTATTGCGGAATTCTTCCCCACTCTTCCTGCAATGTGATGACCAGTTGTGGGGGGTATTTAAGGCGTGTTTTGACGTTGACGTACACGTCGATCGAGTTCATCCCATAGTTGTTCTATCAGGTTTAGATCTGGTGATCAGGAAGGCCATGGCAAGACATTGACGTTAGAATTGGTAAGGTATAGCAGACTGTGACGCGTGCTGTATATGTGAAGTAGTTGTCATGCTGGTACAACTCCCTCTGTCGATCCGTAATCAGAAGCATGTGACCTGTAAGGACTTCCTTGATGTACCGATTTGCTGTCATATTCCACTGAAACACCACTAGATCAGATCTTTGTGTGCTGGATATCACACCCCACACCATGACACTGTCACCACCGAATCTGTCGACCTGTGGAATTCAGTTGGGGGCGAAACGATCATTTCTCCGACGGTAAATAGTAACCACACTGTCGTCCATCTCGCCGGTAAAGAAGACATGGTGATTCATCACTGACCCATCACTGATCCGGACTAGCCTCCAGTTTCTAAGGTTCCAGTTCCGGACTCTGCGACATCACCGCTAGTGATTGCGCCGATGGAAGTCTCTCAAAACAGGGGCGACAACTGCCCTTCTTGGTGGAATCCTCCATTCACGCAGTCGATTCCTGACAGTTTGGTCGGACATTTATTCTCAAACCAGGGATGCGTTGTGCAGTCTCCACGGCTGTGGCAAGATGATGAAGGAAGTGAGCAACCCGGATGTAGCGGTCCTGGGCTTGGGTTGTAACTCTTGGACGACCGCTTCTCGGGCGATCTTGAGCGGAAATGGACTGCAGGAAACGATCCCAAAGGCGAGATATGGTGCTGTGATGAACGTTGAAATGTCGGGCAACTGCAGACTGCGACTCCCCAGCTTCAAGGCGGCCTATGGCGATGTTTCGATTGGCGGCACTCAGTCGTGGCATGATGATTTCCTCTTTTCCAGGCAAAAACGAATGACAAAATTAAACACAACGATTGCCTTTGTATGGTGATTGATACAACATGCTTTTCCGCTTACTTGCACCTGCATTTTGCTTTGCATGTTTACATGATGACGTTTTGGCGAATATTTTTTTCAAACGCTTCTAAAAGAAGGGAAAAAGTTGAAATTGTCGCGTTTTGGTGCTGAAGCAGTTTACAATCACACAAATATGGCGTTTTGGAAAGAAATAGTATATTTGTATTGTTTTTGCTGCAGCTACATGAGGCCAATATTCTCAAAATCGCCTATGCGTTTCATTTTTTGAAGAGTGTATCTGATGACCGTCGATCCACGTCTAAGCTTGGGTTTCAAAATGCAATTCACTTGCGGTATATCTTGGCACATGTTGAGGTAGCTCAAAGGTCAAAACATTCATTTACCAGATAAAATGCTTATTGATTACTAGTAACTCCAAGTACATTCTTCGGTAAAGCCCCGAACACCCGGCTATTGCCATACGTCTAGAGATTGTTATAGAAGCAAGTGTGTCAAACTAAATTTACAAAACGTGAATTCTGGTATTGCTTTCGTAAACCGAGTATAATACACATGCGTAGGCAATACTTTCCTTTTTACCCATTTTTAGCTCCCATTTGGGAAACTGCACTGGTGACCACCGCCGTTTCTAGTGTGACGTCATTTTGACCCTACGTCACAATATCTTTCAAATGACGTCAACAATGCGGGTGATGTAGTTCTCTGGTGTGCGAAGCGATATTTGCATTAGTATTATTGCGTATATATAGAGAATACTAAACGATGTCTCGTGTAATACCATATTCCTTAAACGAGCGAGTTAGCTACCTATGCCATTCACGAGTTTCATTAGTATGGTATTACACGGGGCATCGTTTAGCATTTTATTTATTAGTCACCCAACATTAGCAAATAATATCTCAGAGTTCAACTTACAGAACGAGTGCATTACGCCGTCACACCACGGGCAACGCGTATGAATACATTTCATTAATGATTGTCAACGTTAATCTACTTAATTTGATTATTTAAATATATACAAGGGGGTATGAAAAAGGGACCAAATGGCTTCAACCAACGTATTATTATTTTATTTGTGTTAAATTCTATTACACGCAACCGATCAAAGAACTGTTGAATATCGCGACTTTGAGATGTGTTGTAAATGACAGTCACATTTTGTTTTGACGTTACTTTGGTCACGTGAGTGCAAATAGTTAAGGCAGCACGCAATGTTATTACACAATGTGTAATAGCACATGTAATAACACTGTAGATTTGTTAAACAGTGATATCTTCAACGGGTGAGTAATAAACGCTTTTATTACTCACCCGGTGCAGTAATGTATTTGAGCTATACGTTTTTATTGAATTGTGGGTTATATAATTTATGGGCACGCATTTGATTGGCTGCTGCACGAATAATTGTTATTGATAATGGACGCTGTTTGTGTATTGTTTTTCTTTGAAAGATAACAGTAAGCACCAACAGTCGAGGCGAGGAAATGGGTGAATGAGTTTAGTTTAGTTTTACGCCGCACTCAGCAATATTCCAGCTATATGGCGGCGGTCTGTAAACAATCGAGTCTGGACCAGACAACCCAGTGATCAACAGCATGAGCATCGATCTGCGCAACTGGGCACCGATGACATGTGTCAACCAAGTCAGCGAGCCTGACCACCCGATCCCGTTAGTCGCCTCTTACGACAAGCATGGGTTACTGAAGATCTAACCCGGACCTTCACGGGTGCGAGGAAATGGAATAGGTCACGTTATATGTTTTGTTCTGACGTTCAGTCAATGTGACGTCATTACCGTTGAATTAGGCCCAACCCATAAGATATACGGAGAAACTGAATTCTCACTTTTCACTCTTTCAAGTGACTGTCAATCAGATGTCAACCAGCGTATGAATGCTGCATATTCTCAAATTGGATACTGATTTGTATAAATCGTCAGGAAGGCCCCTTGCTATATACGAATTATATCTCTAGCGACACACGGATTAAAGTAATTTAATTTTACTCCGCAATGGACGGTGCCGAAAATATACCACAAAGTGCCACTCTGTGCCGCCATGATCAGTCAGTGTCAGAATCCAGTGACGTAACAACGGCTTCAAACGATCACATATTTAATAGCGGAGGATCTTATTTTTATCATTCAATTCATGCGTGGTGATGGTTGCGGGATGTGGAAGTCATTCTATCTGGTGTCTTTTTTAAATTCTTCTGATACTGACATTAATTTGACACAACTTAAATGTATTTCAGAAAATCAATAACATTAATAAAATCAACACTGTTTTCGTTTTATTTAATACAAAGTTTGGTGTTTCTGTTTGTTGTTCCTAAGTGATGATTTGAATCTTAATTCAGATTCCTGTACATTTACATCATAATACACAAGCGCACACTTGCAGAATAGAGTGACAATATCAGTAAAAGTGCCAATATTTCGCAGGGAGAAATCACTTGTGGTTCAGTAGAGGGCCACCCTTGACACAAGAAGCATTTACTTGTTGTTAGGAGAACGGTACACTGGGACAATTTATTCATCGGCACATTTCGGAATAATAAAGTAGTTTCGATTTTCTCAGCCAGGGCTTGATTATAAGCGTAGAAGATTTTCCCAAGTGGAGTTTAGAAAGGTATACTTTGTTTTTCAATATCCTTCTGATGCTATGACGTGTGATACCTTCAACAGACATTTGTGGTTGTGCATATTTAGAGCTAATTAGTTTCCGTAGTGCGCCGGAGACTAATTTGTAGGATTTTATTATTCAAAATGGCGGAGCACGCGTCGTCCCCAAATGAAAAGCCAGGTAATAATACGATTTTTACATATTCATATTTCAGTTTTAGCATAATATATGCCCTTTTCCTTCATTAACTATCGGCTTAATTGCGTTAATTAGAGTGTCAGTCGGTTTTAACTGACAATAAATTTCTTCTCGGTGGGTCATGGAGGTATTTTTTGGCATTTGCAGGTGCCCGTCCAAATTTGCATTGAGTGTGAAATATTGTGAGGGTGTTTTTGTGTGTGCGCGGCGTTATCTGTATGCATGCAAATGCAGGTCAAACGAAAATAACACAAACTATTGCAGCACGTGTTTTCGATGCCAACAATGCACGTTGTTTTGTCAACAGAGACGAAGTTTAAATAGTGGGCATGTAGACAGCGTTGGTTTGACAGTTCTATTGTCAAGCGAGAGCCACACTGTCCCATATAAAAAATAGGTTGACAGGGGTCTGAAAATGAGGGTCGATTGCTAAAGGAGCTGCGTATTTTACACAATTTTGGCTGTTTGTCATTTATTACCGCCTTTTATTTCTGTTACCCGCTTTAGTATATACAGCGATGTCATGTGTTGCGATGTAAACATTAACGCTGATAGCTTGTGAAGGTATGTTGGTGCGGAGTTGACGGGTAGACCACGGCCGCTCTATCGACACTGATGACCTCATACGTCAAGGGGCCGGCCCAGTTACATTCTAACAATTTAAACAAGGAATGCAACCCTTTCTGCTCTCTGAACTAGGTGGACCAGTTATGGTACACAAATAGATCACATTTTTAGTCAAAATGTATATATAATACATCATATATTTATGCCTCATATAAAAGTTCCAATAGGGTTATTGATGGTGTCATTTGTATTTGGTGAGATGTAATATCTTTGGTTCATATAATCCAGCAAAAGGATTAAATGTGACCCTGCAGAAGATTAAAACAATTCTTAATTCACTTGAAATATATATTTCAAAAAGTGTTCATGATAGTGGATAATAATAAGGTTATTGATGAAATCAGAGTGCTTGTTACGCAGATCATGTAATAGAATTATTTTATTTTCATTTATCTCTGGCATATTTTGTTAGGCTTGACCAATATTCTTTGGTGTGTCAGCTGAAATATGTCAAATAAAGTATTCAATGAATTTGGATGAAGTGTTTGGATATTTCCGTGATAAACATAGGATCATAGTGTTTTATCACTGTTTAATTATCATGTACATAAATTTGCTGCTATTTTTGTCTTTGGGTGATTATTCTAGCCATTCTATTAAGAAAGAGGAAAAATATGTTTAGCATAATTGCATATTTGTTATATTTCTATACTGCACAGACTTGGCAAATGATCGTAAAACCCGATGCTTTATTATGGCAATTTTCAAATAAATGTGCACTTAATTTGAATGCATCATGTTATTTCTGTGTATACTGAACATAGGCATGATTTGCTTAACAATCTCATAAATTAGTTAACAAAAGAGACTATTAAATGAAAGAAATTTATGTTTTATTTCATGAATATCATAAATCATATATCATAAGAAGAAAGAGCATCATCTCCAATAATATCCAACAGCAATCAATAATTTTATGCCTAACAAGGTGTTATGCAATATCAACTACAATTCTGTCCAACAGCATCATTTATGTTTTTGCAAACAATATGATAATAACTCCAATAATGTCCAACAGCGATCAATATTGTTTGTACAAACTAAGTTCTAAACAATTTGTGTCTGTATTTCAATAACTGGTTTGTTTTCCTAATTTCCAACGGTCAGTGCATCAGTTTCTGCCTCTTGCTTATGGCAGCAAAGAGACCTACAATAGCAATGGTTGAGTGAGTATGGTTTTATGCCGCTTTTAGCAATATTCCTGCAATATCATGGCGGGGGACACCAGAAATGGGCTTAACACATTGCACCCATGTGAGGAATTGAACCCGGGTCTTCCGGCGTGATGAGCCAACGCTTTAACCACGAGGCTACCCCACCGCCCCCAATAGCAATGGCTGGACTGGTCCTCTCTAACAAAGAAATGAATAGGTTTTAGTTTGGTTTGAAGAATGTCCACTTATTTCCTACTCCAGTCAGGGCGGTGGGGTAGCCTAGTGGTTAAACACGATTCCCCACATGGGTACAATGTGTGAAGCCCATTTCTGGTGTCCCCCGCCGTGATATTGCTGGAATATTGCTAAAAGCGGCGTAAAACTCACTCACTCCTCCTACTCCAGTCACTGACAGAAATGACATGCAACATTACCATGAAAATTTGTATATTTCTTCTCTTCTGAAAAGTAGTTGTTAGAAGAAGAAAATCACTGTCTTAAGTATAATCAGGGCTATAGATAACTTTTTTGGGTCATTGAGTTATATACTCTCTTGTGTTCGTCTCAATTGGGTATCCTAAGTTTCCTTTGAGTAACCAAACAAATTGTACTCACCTCACTCAAACTCAATTGGGTATTTTGCCATTTTCCATTAATTGTAAAAATATAATAAAGTTGTTTGCGTTTGTTATTTATATTTTATCTGTAATATGAGAAACGATCACAGGGGTGGATTAACTTTAAAATTGCTAGTGTACTCCGGAACAGTAGCACATGTAAAATCACTTGCCCTGGTAATTTGTCCACTATACCGGATGTTTTCTTGTTGATATTTTTAAATATAATTAACATTGAAAAGTCAACTGGACACCGGTACAGTGTGATATACAAATTTGCTTGCCCGACAGAAAAAAACACTGGACTCGGACATCAGGCAATGGGTTATTTCCACCCCTGGATCAGAAAGACTGCAAGTTGCAATAGTTCATGTCCTGAAATAGAACCTCTCAATAAAAGTTATTTTATCTATCCACATGTACGCAAACTAAGATTTGACATTTTTGTGTGCACGCATGTAAGATCACATTTATTGAGTATTTGCAAAAAATTCAAGCGTACTTGTACGCAATAGACTTAATAGGAATTGAGTTTTCACATAAATATTTGCGTAATTTACGCAGATACGCAACTTATCTGTACCTCTGTATAATCCTTAGGATGCATATTCTTTCATATGTACAGTTCATGGCATGACAGAAGTAAGAGAGTTTTTATGGATGTCAACTTCTTTATTATGAGGAACACAACAGATGAATGAGTAAGGATATGCTCCGAAACATTGTATTCCTCATAATAAAGGGTTTACAGGGATAGAAATACTTTTTTTTCTAGGTGTGCCTTAGGGCACCAGGCAAATATTTTAGGTGTGCCTTTCAGAAATCAAGTGTGCCGAGGTTTTTAGAATCAATGACTGTAGCAAGGATGATGATCTTTTGAAATCTATTGTCAGAAAACAACAAATGTAACCAGTTTTCTGTTATCACTGATATGTCTTCTGTTTAAGATGGCTTTCTTATGTTACAGTTGTTCTGCTTTCCCAACATCTTTAATAGCTAAGAATCGTGTGAGAGGTTCACTTTTTTCAATACATCTAACATACACAATTTACTCTTCACTAACCAAACTATCAGTACTCACAAAACTCTCATTGGAGTGAGTTTGGTTTTACGCCGCTTTAAGCAATATTCCAGCAATATCACGGCGGGGGACACCGGAAATGGGCTTCACACATTGTACCCATGTGGGGAATCGAACCTGGGTCATCGGCGTGACGAGCGAACGCTTTAACCACTAGGCTACCCCACCACCCCCACTCTCAATGGAAAAACAACCAGATTTCTTTACATCATCCATAATAATTCCAGTGATTTCCTGGGCGTAAAAATCAATAAATGCTTTTGCTTGTTTGTCATTTGCTTAAGTGTTTTGTTTGGGGATTAAATGACTACAGGTGTGCTATGTCTCTAAAAAAATTAGGCGTGCCATAAGGGCACCAAGAACACTTTTTATCTGTGCCATTTCGATATTTACCGTGCCGTGGCACGCTAATACATAGGGTATTTCGAACCCTGGTTTACCTGTGAAGGTCTGGGTTAGAATGTGCCTTCAGTAACCCATGTCGTAAGAGGCAACTAACGGGATCGGGTGGTCAGGCTCACTAACTGGGTTGACACGTCATTGTATCTCATTTGCGTAAATCGATGCTCATGCTGTTGATCACTGATTTGTCTGGTCCAGACTCAATTATTTACAGACCGCCGCCATATAGCTGGAATATTGTTGAGTGCAGCGTAAACCTAAACTCACTCACTCCCTCATAATAAAGGTGTTGACATCCATAAAAACTCTCTTCCTTATGTGTATCCTCCGAAATGCCATTCAAAGACATGCCATGACAGATTAAATATAGTCATATGATAGAATCAAGTGTTTGAGTAGTATACACAATCCCAGGTTCATGTCTTCAATGTTTTTTCTGTTACATCCTCAAATGATATGGGGCGGTGGGGTAGTCTAGTGGTTAAAGCATTGGCTCGTCACGCCGAAGACCCGGGTTCGAATCCCCACATGGGTACAACGTGTGAAGCCCATTTGTGGTGTCCCCCGCTGTGATGTTGCTGGAATAATGCTAAAAGCGGCGTAAAGCCAAACTCAGTCAGTCAGTTCAAATGATATAAATATTTGTCATTAGAGAGGGAATGTCCTGGAGCTGAGATAGCACTTATCAGAGGTATTTCTATTATAAAAGAGTTGACACATGTCATCGTATCCCAATTATGTAGATCAGTGTTCATGCTGTTGATCACTGGATTGTCTGGCCCAGACTTTATTATTTAAAAAACGCTGCCATATAGTTTGAATATTGCTGAGTGCGACGGAAACTAAACTCACTCACTCACTATTATGAAATTCAATCACAATGGTTTGCAGACCATTGTGACATCACAATCAAATGACATCACTAATCTCTCTGCCAGTGAAGCTGTCTAGCTGTACTCCAGCTTGTCATAGTCCCACGTCACTGGTTAATATTATTTACAAACTGAAAAGTTGAATGATAAATAGAATCTCACTCTGGTATCTTTAGATATAAAATATGGTAACACTTGTGGACAAAAGATAAAAATTCTTTTTCAAGCC